TGAGAATGGGTATTTCATCTCCTTGGTTTAGTTTATTCCTAGGTATCTTAATTTTTTTGTTGCAATGGTAAATGGGATTGTTTTTGGTGTGTGTGTGTGTGTGTGTGTGTGTGTGTTTAATCCTCACCCGAGGACATTTTTACATTTATCTTCAGATAGAGTGGGAGGGAGGGAGGGAGGGAAGGAGGAAGAGAGAGAGAGAGAAACATCAATGTGAGAGAGACACACTAAATGGTTGCCACCCACAGGACCCCAACTGGGGCTGGGACAAACTGCAGCCTAGGTACATGCCCCTAGTGGGAATTGAACCCAGGACTCCCCGGTCCACGGGCTGACACTCTAACCGCTGAGCCAAACTGGCCAGCGCTAAATGGGATTGTTTTTTAGTTTCCCTTTTTGTGTGTCCATTATTGGTGTATACAAATGCCATTGATTTCTGGATTTTAATTTTGTATCTGGCTACTTTGCCAAATTCATTTATTAAATCTAGTAGATTTTCGATGGAGTCTATACAGTTTTCTTTGTACAATATCATGTAGTCTGCAAATAATGACAGTTTCACTTCCTTTTTTTTCCAATTTGAATGCCTTTTATTTTTCTTTTTTTCTAATTGCTGAAGCTAAGACTTCCATTATTATGTAAAATAAGAGTGGTGAAAGTGGGCATCCCTGTCTTGTTCTTGTTCTTAAGTGAAATGCTTTTAATTTTTGCCCATTGAGTATGATGTTGGCTATGAGGTTTTCATATACAGCCTTTATTATGTTGAGATATCTCTCTATTCTCACTTTGCTGAGAATTTTTATCAGAAATGCGTGCTGGATTTTGTCATATGCTTTTTCAGCATCTATTGATATGATTATATGGTTTTTATCTTTCATTTTGTGTATGTGGTGTATCACATTTATTCATTTGTGAATATTGTACCAGCCTTGCAACCCTGTAATGAATCCCACTTGGTCATTGTGAATAATTTTTTAAATATATTGCTGGATTTGATTTGTTCATGTTTTGTTGAGGATTTTGACATTTATATCCATCAAGGATATTGGTCTGTGTTTTTTTTCTTTTTGTAGTGTCTTTATTTGGTTTTGGAATTAGGATTATGTTAGCCACATAAAAAGAGCTTGGAAGTCTTCCTTTCTCTTGAATTTATTGGAATAGTTTGAGGAGAATGGGTGTTAGTGCTTCTTTGAATGTTCAGTAAAACTCCCCTGTGAAGGTGTCCAGACCTGGGCTTTTGTTTGCTGGGAGTTTATTGATTATATCTTCAATTTCCTGAGTTGTTATTGGTTTGTTCAAGTTTTCTGATTCTTCCCAGTTTAGTTTTGGGAGACTGTGTGATTAAAGAATGAAATAAAAAACATCTTGGAAATCAATAAAAATGAACAGAGACCAACACAAAATCTGTGGGACACAGAGAAAGCAGTCCTGAAAGGGAAGTTCATAGCATTACAGGCCTTGTCAAGAAACAAAAAAAATTTCTAATAGGCTATCTAGCCCTACAATTTAAAGAACTGGAAAGTAAACAAAAAGCAAAACCCAGAGCAAGTAGAAGGAAAGAAAGAATAAATAACATAGAGACTAAAAGAACAATTTAAAAGATCGATAAAACCAACAGGTTGTTCTTTGAAAAGATAAACAAGATTATTGAACCTTTATTCAGACTCACCAAGAAACAAAGAGAGAGGACCCAAATAAACAAAATCAGAAATGAAAGAGGAGAAGTAACAACTGCCACCACAGAAATACAAAGATTGTTAGAAAATACTGTGAACAATTATACATCAACAAATTGGTCTATCTAATTCTTTAATTGTTAATAAAGACCCAGAGCTAGCAGTAAATTCAACACTGTAGTCAGGTCTAGCTTTTACTTTCAACATTGCAAACAAACCGTGAATGCTATGGTACTACGAGGGATATACTATAACTATGTAGGGTCCTTAATCCAGGTCATTAGAAGTTTCTCCATGTCTGCTATAGGTCCTTCTCAAATATATGTTAGCCTCATTGTCTTTAATGAAGTAGATTTTTTAACAGCTTCTATAACTTTGTGTTTGTTCTTCAAGATCATAGCTCTGGTGAAATGGGACATGCCTGACTGGTTAACAATAATCATCACTGGTTTCCTACCTTCATAGTCTTTAATTCTTTTGAATTTTGTTTCCAGATCAATTACTCAGCATGGTCTCTTACTGGCAGCATTAGCAGTAGATTTTCTATGTTTAGGGGTCATGATGAACAAAATATCACAAGATTAAATCAAGCACAACAGAAATGATGCAATCAAGAAATACACATGGTAAATATCAGGTATATAAGGCTGCTTGCTGGCATAACATGGCATATTATTTTACAGAAACCTTGTTTTGTTTTGTTTTTAAGTGGAATGAATGCACTCTAAAATAATGATAAAAAGTACACTATAATAAATACATAAACCGGCCCTGGCCAGTTTGGCTCAGCGGTTGGAGCATCAGCCTGCGGTCCTGAGAGACCCGGGTTCGGTCCCCGCTAAGGGCGCGTACCTCGGTTGCAGTTTGTCCCCGGCCCTGGTCGGTTATGCGGGTGGCAGCCACTCGATGTGTTCCTTTCACGTCGATGTTTCTCTCTCTCTCTCTGTTCCTCTCTCTCCCTCCCACTCTACCTGAACAAAAAATGGAAAAATGTCCTCGGGTGAGGATAAAAAAAAAAAATAAATAATAATAATAAATACATAAACCGGTTAACAGTCATTTATTATTATTATTAAATATTATGTACTTTATACATGTATAATGTACTTTTATACTACTGGCAGAGCAGTAGGTTTGTTTATACTACATCACCATAAACACATTATGTATCACCCTATAACATACAGCTAAGGTGCTAGTAATTTTACTGCCCCATTAGAATCTTATGTGACCACCAACATATATGTGGTTCATCGCTGACCGAAACGTTGTTATCTGGTGCATGACTGTGATGGCATCCATCTAACGGAATATTTGAGAGAAGGAAGTGAGATGGTGTATATAAAGAAGTGAGTCTTCTGTCTGGATTAGGAGATGCCAAGAAAATTAAATTTCCTCTTCCACATTTTTATGGCAACTGAGTCCCATGTTATGTCATAGCTTTTTCATACTCAGTAAGGAAGACACTTGAGATATGGTGGTTTAAATATTTTTTTATTCCTCAACTATAAAAATGTGACTCATTTAGAATAGTTTTTCTGCTGAAATATATGAAATCACAAAACTATTCCAAGTTTCTATTACTCACAAAGAGCTCTTGGAAGAAAAATTTCTTCCCCAAAGAAACAACATGCCAATTCTAGATAACTGGCTACTCTTCCATGCCCACAATCATTTAGAAGTCAATTGCCAGCACATCATTCAGAAACAGCAAAGATCCAAAGCATCTGTACCTTAGCTACTCTAGGGGTTTCTTTATGCAATCCCATCTACAAGTGTGGCTTGCCGATGATAGTGTGCAGACATTGCTCTGTAAAGAGGTGGGATTTTTTTTTTTTCAGGTTCAGATTCCTACCCCCAAGGGATCTTAGATTGCTTCTCTATTCAACCATTTACTCATTCAACTAATGTGCATTGAGCATGTGATTTGTGACAGGCTTCACAAACTACTGGGCATATGGGGTGGTGAGCTTAGAATCTAGAAGGGAGGACAACATGAACACACACACGCACAAACACCTTGTGGTGGGCACTATAAAGAAAAAGATCAAGGAAATATTATCAGATTTTAGGGTGGGGATCTACCATAAATGGGGTGGTCATGGGGGTCCTCTTTGAGAAGGTGACTGAGACTGAGATCCAAGGATGAAGAGCAGCAGTGAGGCTGACATTATAGTGCAGACAGAGGAAGGCAGAGGAAGTAACATGGTTGAAGGCTCAGTATCAGGTAGGGATTGTCCGATTCCAGGCCAGAAGTTCAGTGTTGGCTTTACTTACATTCCATACAGGAAATTAATCTCATAGCCTTATGTAAGATTAGGTTTGGAGATCCTTGTTTAAAAGGGTTGGAGATCCTTGTTTAAAAGGCATGTTATAATGAACATGCAGTATATACTTAATTTATAATTTTACTCCTACATAAATTAAGATCCACACAACGCATATCTTTTTCTTTCCTTAATGTTTCAGATCATATTTGAAAGCATTGATTCTACATATTGCTTCAGTTCCCCCGATACCATCTAGAAAAAACATATTCTCCACTTATTTATCATTTGAAATACAAAATAAAAAATATTGCCCTGGCGGTTAGAGCGTCAGCCCGCTGTCCAGAGAGACTCGGGTTCGGTTCCCGCTAAGGGCGCATACCTCGGTTGCAGTTTGTCCCTGGCCCTGGTTGGTCCTGCGGGTGGCAGCCACTTGATGTGTTCCTTTCACGTCGATGTTTCTCTCTCTCTCTCTTTCTCTCTCTCTCTCTCTCTCTCTCTCTCTCTCTGTGTGTGTCTCTGTCTCTCTGTTTGTCTCTCTCTCTTTCTCTTCCTCTCTCCCTCCCACTCTATCTGAACAAAAAATGGAAAAATGTCCTCGGGTGAGGATAAAAAAAAATTAATTAATTCTGCCCACTTCTTAAGCTTTACCAATATTAGCTATGTTTTGGGGCCTAAATGTACAAGGTTATATGTAGTGTCTACCTGTACAGCACATTCCAAAGAGAGACACACCAACAAGTACATATGTATGAAGGCTCAAAGTAAAATCAAGGTTGAGCCTGAAATACTAGTGCATTACAGTCTTAGTTACTTGTTAACTTGAACTAAGAGTATCTGAGCCACTGCAGTCAGATTTCATTTACAGGTGCAAAATGAAGTGCAGAGTTGAGTAAATGATCTTCATATGGACCAGGCAACTAAGGCAAAATATGTTTAGTTAGTCTGAATTATCCAGATTCTTGTCTTAGCAGCTAAAACACCTTTTTTTTTTTTTTTTTTCAAAAGAAAGCACATTGTGCAAGTATTTATTTTAATTACTCCTATTTGAAGGTTCTTATTTTTGGACAACGGCAAGGCATTTCATTATCCACTCTTTCCACTCCTTAAAGGCTTCCACCGGTTTGGGCAAATTCACACTATCCTTATGACTATGTTTCGGAGTGACTCGAGGTGCTTCAGTGGATTCATCATCAATCCACCTCACCAGGGCTTTGTATCTTTCTACAATGTTGAAGCCAATAGCACACTGCAACTTGCATAAACAGATCGGGCACAGATTTAGGAGGCGCCGGTCAGCTTCTTCCAAGTGGTTGGAGCCTTGCATCAGGCATGCAAGCCACTGGCAGTGCCGAAGTCCAAATATGTGTCCAATCTCGTGGGTTAAAGTCTTATAGGACCGAAGCAGCAAAATACTAGTCACTTCAGGAACATAGTAGTTATCAAAAACCGAATAGTCGTTCGAAGACTTTTTCTGCAATGCCTTCCCTTTGCTTTCATAGCTTGAGTTGTAAAAATCACTTCTATACCTGGCAAAGCTGAGTATCCCCACACCATCTGACAAAGAGGCCTGTCCAAAGACAAAATTCCAGGAGTCTCTTGGGTAAAGATCAATCATGGTTATTCCCACAACACAGAAGGCATCTTCGGGTTTCTTCCTTTTTAAGAACTTCAGGATGTGCCCTGCATGTATTTGTAGCTTCTGTGTGCTATCATTGACCCTAAAGGAACACCTCGTTGCGGAGACAGGGACCGGTTCCAGTAGTCTTACTGTCAAGCCATAGAAAAATGTTTCACAGTAGCCCTTGAGCCATTTAATATATTCTTCACTGATAATATAGCAATCCAATGTACTGTATATAAATACTGCGCTTCTCCGGAGAGGGTGTCTTTCTGGAAGGAGCATTGAAAAACTCTTCGAAGTCTTGGGGAGGCTCAGGATGGGAGGTGATCCAATCTGACTGAGAATGCAAGGTAATGGGTCCAAAGAGATCACTGGCTGGTTGGAAGGCTTCGTTCATCAAACGCCATTCTGCAGCATTAAACTTCTCATACTGGGACACAAGCACTGGGTTCTTTGAGATGAGAGCTGTTCTAAGTGTCTGTTCCGAGTGCCTTACTGTTTGCATAATGACAGGTCTCTTCCAGTCACATCGTGTTTTTAGGTAGAGCTTTCATCCCTTCGTTTCAATGGGTCCAACAGCTGTTCCACCAGGAGGCGGCGGCTCAGCCCAGACGGCCCCAGCCGGGTTGTGACGCTCCCTCCGCACCACCTGCACCCTTGCCGTCTGGACGCCGCCAGCAACACCTTTCATTTTTAATTAAATAATTAAGTGTTGAATGGGAAGGTGCTGGGTAGATAGTCAGAAGGTTAAAGTCTCCCAAAGAAGGAGCCTGGCCATGAAGAACCCATTCAAGCTTGCCCAAATAAGAAAGACTTGGGCAATAGTTAAATTCCTGCATATTGCTCAAACGCAAATGGAGGGCAGTCATCCTGGACAAGGCACCTTTCACAACAGAGCTTCTTCTATTAAGGACAAAGTTTCAGGGTTTTTAGAGACTAATGTTTTTATTTTGTATTGTTAGTTATACCATGCTCTGGAACATGAATAGGCCCAGATACATATATTTCCAAAAAGAAATGATTCATGCCCCAGAATCATAACCCTCATCTCTAGCTTGCTTTCTGGAGCCTTCACAAAAGGGTCTACTTGTTTATGGTGAACTGGACTTTTCCATTCTTTTTTTTTTAATCCTCACCCTAGGACATTTTTCCATTTTTTGTTCAGGTAGAGTGGGAGGGAGAGAGAGGAACAGAGAGAGAGAGAGAAACATCGATGTGAAAGGAACACATCGAGTGGCTGCTACCCGCACGACTGACCGGAGCCAGGGACAAACTGCAACCGAGGTACATGCCCTTAGCGGGAACCGAACCCGGGTCTCTCAGGACCGCAGGCTGACGCTTTAACCGCTGAGCCAAACCGGCCAGGGCGACTTTTCCATTCTTATCTAATTTTCATAAGATCTCAGTTATGGAAGTAACATAAGGAAAGTAGTCCATCCATGTGCTATCATGTCAGTATAGAAACTCTCTAACATTTAGCTTGGTGTTGATGACAAAGCCTGGGCTCAGACAACCACCATAATTTTAGTTCTGCCTCTTCTTGGCAATATGTTTTTGGGCAAGCTGCTCCACCCCTCTGAGCTATAGTTTCCTCATAGGTAAAATGGAATTCTAAGACCTACTTTATAAAGTGATTTAGAGAACTTAATAAGATAATATTTATCTCCTGCCTGGCACATAGACACTTAGCTTGATTTCTTTACCCCTTATTTTAAAGACATCTGGAGTTGTTCCAGGGTAGCATCTCAATAAACATGTATTACATGAATAAAATAGATGGATAGACAGATAAGTAGATGATAGATGATAGATTAGATAGGAAGTTAGGTAGGTAGGTAGGTAGATAGATAGAGTTCCACGAGGGGAGATAGATCATAAGGAAATGAGGCTGCACATTATTTTGCTTAAATAAGAACTCTCAGAAGGCTGGTGTGACATAAAGGTGACAGAGACCTAGAAGGAGCACTCTCAGTTCTAGCACAAATGGAATTAGATTGGGCAGGCACCCAATAGAAGAAAGTCTTAAAGGCCATATCCTCTGCAGCTGGACTCTCCCCTTTGCTCTCTGTCCCTCCCTTACCAACTTCCACCTTGTATAGTTCTATAGTTACCCATTCAAATATATGACATATAGGACTTCTGGTCAAGATGGTGACGTAGGTAAACACAGTCCTCACCTCCTCCCACAACCACATCAAAATTACAATTAAACTACAGAATGAACATCTCTTAGAACCACCTGAAATCGAGCTGAATGGAAGTCCTAAAACTATGAAATTAAAGAAGAGGCCACATCAAGACTAGTAGGATGACATAGGTGCAGTCAGGCTGGTTCCACACCCACATGTGGTGGATAAAAATCACTGGGGATACCTAGGCTGGGAAGGTCCTCCCTGAGGAGCAAGGTGTTCCTGTCCCACACTGGGCACCCCAGCTCAGGGTTTCAGTACCAGGAAGAGAAGTCCCCATAACATCTGGCTGTAAAGACCAATGGGAATGAAGGCTGAAGGAGGCTGAGGCTGCTGGAGTCCTAGGCAGTTCCTCTTAAAGGTTTCATGCACGGACTTACTCAGACTTGCTTTCCCCAAGCACCAGCGTGGAGGGGAGGCAGCTTGAAAGGCACCAAAGACATATGGGGAAGAACTGAGTTGTTTGGCATTGGGACGAGGGCTGGAAAGGCAGCTTTTCCCCAGAAAGACGTGCTGGCAGAGGCCGTTGTTCCTTTGGTGAGACCTTCTCCCTCAAACTATTTGCCCTGCCCTGGTGATATGCTGGGGCCCTACCCCACCTAACTTGTGGGTCCACCCAAGCTGTTTCCAGTGACTTTATGATAGGATTGGCCTGTTTTGGCTCCTGATTCAGATTTTCCTAAATTCCATCAAACAAGCAGCATTTGGCCACAATGAGCCCCATACCTTTTACTAAGTGACCCCAGGCTGGGCACTAGAAGCAGCCAGGCTTGGTTCACAACTTGACTTTGCCTGGACACCTCCAAGCCTAGCATAAGAAACATCCATCTGCAGGTCATGTTGTACCTATGTCTGGTGGTCCCAGGTAGAACACAGGCAGTGGCTGACATTGCCCCAGAGCCAGCACATCCAGTGGACAGCTTCAGACCAAGTCCAAGCACTACCACCTAACCACCTCCACAAGTGACACACTCAAGGACTGAACTCAGAGGGTACCGGAGCCCTGCTGAAGTAAGTCTTGCTCTGTGTGGTGGGCCCCTGCATAGCTGATCATGCAAGGTAATCAGAGGTCGGTGGATAGTGGGCACAGCCAGTGTTTGCACCTGATCAGCCTGAGTAAAACCCTCTCATTGACATGCCAACATCAATTAAGACTCAATTACAACAGAAGGGTGTACAGTCCACACTAGGGCTGCACCTCGAGGGTCCAGCAGGGTGACCAGGGAGGCTGTGCTACTGGACTCTACAGGACACCTGCTACAACAGGCCACCCTAGGAAGCCTAGGAAAGCTAGCATCTCTCTCTAATAAATAGAAAAAAAAACACAAGGAGACAGCCAAAATGAGGAGACAAAGAAACATGTCCCAAATGGACAAAAAAAAAAAAAAACTCCAGGAAAAGAACTAAATGAAATGGAGGTAAGCAATCTAACAGATGCAGAGTTTAAAACATTGTTTATAAGGACACTCAATGAACTTAGTGAGAATTTCAGGGAACTTCATGAGAACATCAAGGAACTTAGTGAGGACCTCAAGAACATGATAAAGGACAAATTAGAAATGAAGGATGTACTAACTGAAATAAAGAATAATTTACAGAGAATCAATGGTAGAACATAGGTGAAGCCAAGAAGCAAACCATTTATTTGGAATATAAGGAAGCAAAAACACCCAATCAGAACAGCAAAAAGAAAAAATAATCCAAAGAAATGAGGATAGTATAAGGAGCCTGTGGGACAACTTTAAGCATACCAACATTTGCATCATGGGAGTGCCAGAAGGAGAAGAGAGAGAACAAGAAATTGAAAACCTATTTGAAACAATAATGACAGAAAACTTCCCTAACTTGGTGAAGGAAACAGACATAGGAGTCCAGGAAGCACAGAGTCACAAACAAGATGAATCCCAAGAGGCCCACACCAAGACACATCATCATCAAAATGAAGTATGTTCAAGACAAAGAGAGAATCTTAAAAGCAGCAAGAGAAAAGCAGTTTGTTACCTACAACAGAGCTCCCATACAACTGTCAGCTGATTTCTCCAAAGAAAGTTTGCAGGCCAGAAGGGAGGGGCAAAAAATATTTAAAGTACTGAAAAGCAAGGACCTACAACCAAGATTACTCTATCCCGGAAAGCTATCATTTAGAATTGATGGCCATATAAAGAGTTTCCCAGACAAGGAAAAGCTAAAGAAGTTCATCACCACCAGATCAGTATTATATGAAATGTTAATGGGTCTTCTTGGAGAAGAAGACAAAAAAATATGAACAATAAAGTGGCAATAAATACATATCTATCAACAATTGAATCTACAAACAAAATGAGCAAGGAGAACAGAAACAGACTCATAGATACAGAGAACTTTTAGTTGGTTACCAGATGGGAGGGGGGTTGGGGGGATGGGTGAAAAAGATAAAGAGATTAAGAAGTACAAATTGGTTGATAGACTGACAAACCTCAAAGGGAAGGAGGGAGGTGGGGCAGGAAGAGATAAACCAAAGAACTTCTATACATTTATGCATAACCAATGGACACCAACAATAGTGTGGGGAACACAGGAGAGGGGTGGGAGTGGGGAGGAGGGAATCAAGCAGGGGGAAAAGGAGGGACATCTGTAATACATTCAACAATAAAGATAAGTTTAAAAAAACAAAACAAAGATATGACATGTAGCTCCAAGAAAACCTGGAGCCCTGGGATTTACATAACCACCTGTGCCTGGGATAGAGGGGCTACACCACATTTATTTCTTTTAATATGTGAATGGACAGTCATTTTGTCAGGCCCAGATATCAGCTCATCTTTGGCATCTTCGTAGGGTTCAACCAAACCCACCTCCTTGTTCAAAACACTGGCTTTCAGCCTCCCAAATTTAACTTTCTCCCAACTTATCTTTGTGCAGAGGAATGGTCTAGATGGAATTAAATCACATGAGAAATATTGATTGATTGACATTTTTATGTATGTATTAACACTTTCATGCTTTCTTTCTACTGGACAAGTCTGTCCCTGAGGCATGGGAGTTAAAGGTTTATTGAATTATATGTGTAATTAAAAAAATGGGAGAATATCTTTTCTGCTGGGACTCTTTGGCAAAATGTGTGATGACCCTGACACTTTCTGAGAATGGGTTGATGTACACCCAGTCTGTTATGTGACAGGACCCTAAACAAGCCAATCCATAATCATAGGCCTTTGAAAGTGGTGGTTCCCACTGTGGCCTCTCATATATTTAAAGTTTGTGGGTGTCTCTTTATTTGAAGGTCGCAGAAATCCAATGGATTAAGTAAAAAAGGGTAAGTAATTGTAAAGACAATATGAGAGCAAGCTCCAGGAAGGAAGAAGCA